TTGTTATCGAATTCCTGAAACGCAATTATCGCACATGCCAATCGATAAAACTCTATAGTTTTCAATACATCGACCGTCGATTTGTCCTCGACGCACGCAAAATCAATGCTATAAAATCAAATACACTTAACAAACCATCTTCGAAACGCTCGTTAACAAAGAAATATACAATTTCCAAAGCACCTATAGAAAAAAAGGGTTAAACATAACGAAAAACTCCAAAATTGTACACTTACGATAAATTTAACCTAAACTAAACCCCAAACTGGTACACTTGTAACAAATTTATCCTTCGTTACTTTTCGTTAAATTTTATTGTCAAATTACTAAGTTAGATGACACGTGGCAGTTTGGGGTTTTACCCTCTATTTGTCACTAGTGTACCAGTTCATGATTTTTCGTGGTATTTATCCAATTTAATGGAAACTGATAGAAGGTAAATTTACCGTAAATGTACTAGTTTGGAAAATTTTTGTTGGTAAAAAAATTGGTCGGTATAGAATTTTCCGTGATCTTAATCCTAGAAAAAAAAAACGGCGTTTGTATTATCTCGGGGGAACTAATTAATAGACAAAATAAAATTCTATCAAAAAATAGAGAGAGGGTGTAGATCCTCGCGGTGGGCCGAGAAGCAGGCGATCGGCGCCGGTGGAGAATCTTTCGACGTCAAGGAAATGATTCGGACGACCTTCGAAGGGGGAGGGAGGGGGGGCGCGCGCACGTGACTCGACATCGATAGTCGGGTCCGATGGTTCTGCTCACGTGGGACCCAGCAGACCCTTCCTTAATTAATTTATATTCGAAAATAAGCCACAAATGTTTTTTTCCCCCAATTAAAAATGGTAACTACTGGGGTTTATCTAGATTTTCTGTGATTTTCGTCGATTAATGCGACGGAATAAGAAAAATCGCGAATTAATTCTATTGGAAAGTGCGAGCTCTCTTTTAAAGATTTGGTCTGCTTAGGGAAAGACGAAGATAGACTTTCGTGAAATTAGAACGGTTTTTTACTTACCAAAAATAAGATGTAAAGATAAGTTTGGCAAGTGCTAATAATTTCGCGGGATAATTGCATAACCCGATGTGGAATGTCATCGCCGCACTTTTAATTTGTGCAGTGTGATCCGTGAACTTTAACCCAATGTGCAATGCGGTCCATAAATTTTTGATTTGTTCAATGTGGTTTAATGTTCAATCTCGTCCCTAAACTATATGAAAAATATCCAATGACATTCTTCTTCTATTAGTTCATGTTTGAGAACAACATTGACCATTTACATATAGTCCATAAACTAAATGAAATAAGTACCAAAAGTTCATGGACCATTGAATAAATCAAAAATTCAGGGACGACATTGCACATTGGACTAAAGTTCAGGGATTATATTAACAATTCAAGAACCGCATTGCATATTGCAATTGCAGTGCCGAGATTCGTTTGGATTGCAGTGCATTTTCTTCTATGGCACACTCGTGTGAATAGATTTTTACACCAAAGATATTTGTTAGGCAATGCCTCATTAAACATAATCAATGAAATCACATGTTGGGAGATTAGTCAACGCTTATGGAACGATAAGCTTCTTCGAGCATTGAGGGAGATCATGGGGATCGCCATCAACATCGAGGACATTTCCCAATCTCGACATTAATAGGTAACAACTAGGCTTGCAAGTTTTGATGTTTTAATGGAAGATCAATGCGATGTTTGGAGCAATTGGTGATACTAGCAATCTTAATCTTCAATGGGGTTAATTTTTTTTTTTCTATTGGCTAGGTAAGCATCCTGTAATAAGAGAAGTGGTGACTTTGGCACTAGACGTTCCCAAAATGGGTACTATCGCGTCGGGTGATTTTTTGCGAATATTGTTGTACAAACATCATATGCTGGGGCCCTTACCAAAAAAAAAAGGGGAAAAAATCACCAAAAACCCCAAACTTTTTATGGCATTTGCGACTTTTTTGTGGCCAAAACCCCAACTTTGTTATTTGTGACACATTTACCCGATATACATTGTCCATGGGCATTTTCGTCTTTTTAACTTTTTCTTTTTCTTTTTACTTTTTTTTTTTCTTTCCGGCGAGGGCCCCTCGCCGGATCCGGCGTGGGGGGGCCCTCGCCGGCGTCGGGCGAGGGGCCCTCGCCGGAAAGAAAAAAAAAGTAAAAAGAAAAAGAAAAAGCTAAAAAGACGAAAATGCCCATGGACAATGTATATCGGGGTAAATGTGTCACAAATAACAAAGTTTGGGGTTTTTGGTGTCACAAAAAAAAGTTCGGGGTAAATGTGTCACAAGTGGGAAAGTTTGGGGTTTTTGGTGGTTTTTTCCCAAAAAAAAAAACATCATATGCTGGGTATTTTACGCGCATATTTGTTGGCATTTTTTCAAAGTTTGCATGGGTGATACATGTTTTTAAAACCTACATATTGGTCGGGAGCCCCTCCAGTTTCTTAAATTATTTTCCAAATCAGTTGGACCTCCAACACCTTCCATCAACGGTCACATTTGCTCCTATAATGATCTTTTGTAGCCGTACTCAAGACCCCAGTAACCGAATCCAAGTCCCCGTTATGGACCCAAGACTCCAAGGGGCTTGAACCTGGGCGATGTGACACTAAATTGGAAATCCCGACCATTAGAACTATCGCTTAGCCGAGGTTGCTAGCTATTGAACGTGGACCTTGGCTTGCCTTTGTCAGAAAACTCTTCGTAGCTTCACACATGGCCTAGGGGCTAGAGTACGGACTCTAACGGTCAGACTCGGGTCCGCTTTGCTTGCACCCAGACCCGCTACTACCGTGGCGCTCGACCTCAGGACCCCTAGTGGGTAGCGACCGGACCGTTTTTTTCGATAATCAACTCCCCTGAAAATTGATTTCCAACTTCATTCGCAAAAAGGATTATCCAAAAAGAAAAAAAAAAAAAGAGAAAACCCTTTTCTGAAATCCAATTCAAACCCCAAATTTTTTAAACCAACTACACTAAAATAAAAGTGAATGGTCTTGATTGGCTCTTGGGGGTAACAACATGACATCCTAGTGAATTAAGGAGATGAGTCCAAGATTTTCAAACTAGCAAAACGAGGGTAAAACCCAATGGACCAGCATGTATCCAATCAAAACCGACCAAGAAAAAACGGGCGACTTTTATTTCAATTTTTTCTTTTTCTCTCTTTTTTATTTTATTTTATTTTCTTGTAAGAAGAAGAACACCTAGTGCAAACTGGAAAAAGAGCACGCCTTTTTTGGTCCCCCCCCCCCCCCCACCCATTCTGACATCATCATCGACTTTCAAATCTTTGCTCTTTTTACTAAAAGACTCCGGACGAACGAAAAGTCAAGCTTTTTTTCAAGGGTTAATACCACGGAAAACCCTGAACTGATACACTTGTGACAGATTTACCTCAAATTATTTTTTTGACCATAAAAAATCTCAAACTGGTACATCTGTGACAATTTTACCCCGAACTATTTTTTTGATCACCAAAAACCCCAAACTGGTACACCTGTGACAATTTTACCCCGAACTATTTTTTTGACCACCAAAAACCCCAAATTAGTACACCTGTGACAATTTTACCCCGAACTAATTTTTTAATATTATTTTTTTTTATTTTTCGAATTTTTTTAGTTTTTCTTTTCTTTTCTTTTTCCTTTCCTTTTCTTTTTTTTCCTTCATCTTCATTGGACCAACAATGGATTGTTATATTGTAATTGATACCACAATAACGTGACACGTAACATAAATGCTACATTTTGATCCAAAAAAAAAAACATAAACGCTAAATGAAAGACTTTCTTTTATATGCATGAATTTTCATGAGAACCACTTTTTTCTACATTTAAATGTCTCACGTTTTATTTATTATATATTTCAAGTGATCATATTGATTTATGAATCGCCATGCACATATAATATCTCTCATCTTACATATAAAATATACTAATTTTGTAAATTAATCTGTTAAATTAAATTGGCAAGCAAGACGTATAGAAATTGTTGATTAGCTGTACTCCAAGCTTAGGTAACAAGCCTACGTTGGACCCCAACAGTTTGCCTATCCACTTGCACCCAAAAATAAGAAAGACACGACAACAATATAATGCCTTTTTCGCGAGACATTTAAATGTAGAAAAAAGTGGTTGGCATGAAAATTCATGCATATAAAAGAAAGTCTTTCATTTAGCGTTTATGTTTTTTTTTTGGGTCAAAATGTAGCATTTATGTTGCGTGTCACGTTATTGTGGTATCAATTACAATATAACAATCCATTGTTGGTCCAATGAAGATGAAGGAAAGAAAAAAAGAAAAGGAAAGGAAAAAGAAAAGAAAAGAAAAACTAAAAAAATTCGAAAAATAAAAAAAATAATATTAAAAAATTAGTTCGGGGTAAAATTGTCCAGGTGTCTGGGTTTGGGGTTTTTGGTAGTCAAAAAAATAGTTCGGGGTAAAATTGTCCGGGTGTCTGGGTTTGGGGTTTTTAGTGGTCAAAAAATAGTTCGGGGTAAAATGTCACGGATGTACTGGGTTTGGGGTTTTTATGGTCAAAAAAAAATAGTTTGGGGTAAATCTGTCACAAGTGTACCAGTTCAGGGTTTTTCGTGGTATTAACCCTTTTTTCAAATTTTGTCGAGGAGATGGAAAGAAAAAACAAAACACCCAAAAAAATCCAAATCGCCGCCGATTTATCGATTTATGATTTTTCATGATATTAATTAAATTTAATAAAAATTAACAGAGAGTAAATTCGTAAAAAATTTACTAATTTGAGGTAATTCATCACATGTGTACTTAGATTAATATTTCGTAATATTAATATAAGTACGAAACAAGTACTCATATCGAATTTACTAATTGTCGAGAAAAATAACGAAAATATAGAAAGAGAAAAAGAAGAAGAGCACGTTTGTGCGGAACACGAAACGAAAACGGACAAAAGACCGCCTGAAAATTGCAGTTCGCGCATTGCAACGGATCTCACTACCACTCCACTCCAGTCCACCTCAGGTTCAAACCCCATCTCTCTCTCTCTCTCTCTCTCTCTCTCTAGCACAGAGGTTGTCGCTCTCCCCCCCTCTCTCTCTCTCTCTCTTAATAACTCTCGGACCATACTTCGTTGTTGGGTGGGTCTGAGAGGGTCCGAGCTTCGTCCATTCGTTTCGGGGAGGGGGGTTGGCGACAGCGGAGCCCCGTGAAAGTTTTCTTGTGAAGTTTCGCAATTGGGTCGGTCTGGTTTCGCCTTTTCGTGATCCAGTTCAGGTGATTGGAGTGCGTTCGGTCTCTTTCCCCGTCCTTTTCCACCCCCAGACAGCCCCCTTTTGCGCTGTCAGCGGTCGCTGCATTGCATTCCTCCTCCTCCTCCTTTCTTGCGCCGTTCTTGGGTTTCCCTTCCTCCGGCGCGGATGTGGTGGGATCTCTTCTAGGGCTTTCGGGAGGCGGAGGAGGGTTGGAGAGATTCGTGGTTTCGAATCCGGGGTGTTCGCCGTTTTGCATGTGGGAGGAGAAGCTCATGTACCCTGAAAGCGAAGCGGTCTAAGAAGCATTAAAGCTCCTGTCTTTTTTGGGATCGAATTGAAATCAAGGGACTGTGCATCTCATTTATGTGTTTTCGTCTGCGACTTCGAGAAGGGAGCCGTTATCCACGCGAAGTACTCGGCGAATTTAAACGGAATCTGGAAGAAGTTGGGGGCTCTGACTAGGAAAAAGAGAGACTTCATGGAAATGAGAGTCTCGTTTATGATGGGCAGATGGTGAGTCGACGAATTTCGGCTTTGTGTGGGGGGGGTTGTGTGATGGTCTGAACAATCTTTCGACGTTCTGCAGGATCTACCACATAATTTGAACTTCAGAGAATGCGATATCCTGTGATTTGTTTCCTTATCAACCGAGATACTCTGCCTTGGGGGCGTTAATGTTCTTAAGATGACTAGGGCCGTCCGAAACAGGGTCCTTAAGGATGTGAATGGTGATATAAGCGACCATCTTCGGAACCGCATCCACTTGACTAATTGCATTCATCTGAAGAACCATATGCACAAGCACAGCCCCATGTTGGCTGACAGGTCTTTGATGAGAGATCTCATCGTCGTTCAGAGGTCGCGATCTCTCAGGGACCCATCTGCTAGTCCTCCCTCATGGCATTCTCCTTCCGTGGCCGACCTTCTCACCAAGCATGGTGGGAAGGATATCATTCAGGAAGGAAGAAGGTCAGTTGGCATTGAGCGGCCGAGGCAAGGAAGGAGGTTATCAGGAAGCTCGCCGCAGTTTGTTGGTTTAATAGCATCAAGAGTTGATCCGGGAGAGGACGATGAACGTGATGATGTGGCACCGGTAGTTAGTGAGCAGAGTAGCAAGAGTGAATTGCGTGATTCTAGAAGAATTAGGAGAGAACACGTTCGGAAAAGCAGTAAAGAGGATTTTGTCGGTGGGAATGAGGATCCTATACTAGGTATGGATGGAAATGAATCTCTTCGTGACATTTTTTCCGGAAAATCTGACTCTAGAGAAAGAAAGTACAGAGAAAAGGGAAAACGTGTTCAAGATTCTCAAGTCAAGACCCTATCTGAGCAGTTGAATGATGTTCGGATAGATAGTGATGATTTGGCATCTTCTAACATTCATCCTCAAGGAAGAAGTTCGAGAATGGAGAAATTTAGCAGGGAACCTGAAAATGCTGCTTGCAAATACTGTAGCACTTCTAATAGGGTAAAAAGGCGCAAGTTCCGTGGGGCTAAAAGAAGTCGTGCTGCAGTAGCTTCCAGAGATACTGTAGCTCATAGTGAAATGTCTGTGGCTTCAAATTCTCTAGCTCACGATTCTGTGCGCCCAACGCATCACATGGAGGAGGAAGAAGAAGAAGATTACGGGGGGCAAAATGTCACTAGAGCTCCTAGGAATGGGTGTGGGATCCCGTGGAACTGGTCAAGAATACATAACAGAGGCAGAAAATTTCTTGACATGGCAGGAAGGAGCTTGTCTTGTGGCTTGTCAGATAAGAAAGGGAGTCCAGTTTCTCGGAGGAGAGGTTTAGCTAACATTCCGGTGGATTTGGACAGTGCAAGCTCTTCCATGAAATCCGATACAGAAGCATTGCCTCTACTCATTATGTCACAGGACAGCACTGAAAATGTTGATAGGGGACATGATTATTCTGGAGAGTTAGGCATTTTTGCTGATCATCTGCTGAAGCATGATGTGGATACTGACCTTGCTTCTGAAGCTAGATCAGGCAACCGAAGCAGGCCGAGACGGCAGCAGCTTCGACACCAAAATCTGACCCAAAAGTACATGCCTAAAGCTTTCAGAGATCTTGTTGGACAGAATCTGGTGGTGCAAGCTCTCTCTAATGCTGTTAGTAGACGAAAGATTGGGTTACTGTATGTGTTTTATGGACCCCATGGCACTGGAAAAACCTCTTGTGCTCGCATATTTACTTGAGCTTTGAATTGCCAATCCTCAGAGCATCAAAAACCTTGTGGGTATTGCGGTTCCTGTATTGGTCATGATATGGGAAAAAGTCGAAATATAAGGGAAGTTGGTCCTGTTAGTAATTTTGATTTTGAGAGCATTATGGATCTCCTTGACAGCATGATTGTATCAAAGCTGCCTTCAGCATACAGAGTGTTCATTTTTTATGACTGTGATACACTTTCTTCTGATTGATGGAGTGCTATAATAAAGGTCATTGATCGGGCACCCAGGTGGCTGGTGTTAATTTTTGTCTGTTCAAGTCTTGATGTTTTACCTCATGTGATAATATCTAGGTGCCAGAAGTCCTTTTTCCCAAAGATTAAAGACGCTGATATCATATATACTCTACAATGGATCTCATCAAAAGAGAACTTAGAAATTGATGCTGATGCTCTGAAGCTTATTGCATCACGATCAGATGGTTCACTAAGGGATGCGCTCATGACTCTAGAGCAATTCAGTTTGCTTGGGCGGCGAATCTCTGTCATGCTCGTTCAGGAACTGGTGAGCTACTTTTTTTTTCTGCAAATGATAAATAATATTGTTGAAACTCCATACCATTCACTGCTTAACATAAATTAACTCTGTAGCTCTCTGTATCAACATTCTCTCTTCCTCTATGTGATGCCTTAATTGGTGATAAATGTGAGCATTATGATTCGCTAAGGTTTATGGAGGTTTTGATGGTCCGGCCTTCATAGATAAGGGATTGTACATGAACTCATAGATAAGAAGGAGTTGCTTTTTCTCGTGACACCACCCGATGAGTTGCACTAAGTTTCTGTGCCGGAGCCGACTTATGGTCTTCGCTTCGGTGGCATACTCCTTTATCCTTTATCTTGACCCTGAGTTAATCTTCTTGATTGTGACACTAGCATTCACGCTGGTCAAGTAACCTTCGTACGCTCTTCCAAAGCCCTCTTTCCCAAGCAACCGTTCCACTGCGAAATTATCGGTTGCTACGATCAAGTCCTTGTAGAAGAATTTCTTGGGCCCTGACATTTGCCCGAATTCTTCTTCGATCGCTACATCTTCTTCTTCTCCACCCGTGTAAGTTCTCTTTCTCTTCGAACGTTGACGAAACCAAATGAAGGCTAGAGTAAGAATGAGCAAAATTAAAGAACCCGAGCCTAAGATTGACCATAGCCATAACTTGCTCTTTTTAGCATCACAATTGAACAGTATATTTGAATTCCCATGCCTCAAGAGTGTGCAACTCGAAATGTGCACTCGTGGCAGCTGAGAAACCGAAAGTCACCCACTCTGGCAAATACTCAGTCGAGTTGACTATGTAATCGATAGGAGAGGAATTTATGTCAATACCCGTGCCTTCGGCATCTATCATGAGAACGCTCAAGTTCTGCGTGCTAGATTTGTACGTAATCGTAGCATTGATCCACCCACCGCTCATGATTTTATCCTTGAATCAATCAAAGCAGCTATCGTTCAAGGAATTTAGACCATTCAAGTCTATACCGACATGTGCAACCTGTGAACAATTCGGGTCAAACGGGTTGTAGAAAGTGTCGAACTCGACGGCTACAAACCATGCAGAAGAGTTGGAAGGGTCATGATATCGATCCACAACAGCCAGGTTGCCTCCGCTTGAGTTGAGCGAGAGTCGAGACCCATTGGGGACAAGAAAGAAGGTCAATCCATCGGCGTACATCGACCTGTTTTGTGAATTGATGACGAAGGTGAATTGGGTGGTGAAATCCGCCACGTTCCCTGTCGCCTTATCCCAAAGGCGCATCGGCTCGTGGTACGTGGCCCAGCCCACGCTTGAAGAGAGGATCTTGTGTCGATTGGCCTCCGTAATTTGGATGGAGCTGCTCGTATCATACGTCGCATCGCCTTGGCGTTGAATGATACTATCGTTGAAAGTCTGGAAGCTGAAATCGATGCCCTGTGACAATGCCGAAGCAGTGAAGGCAATGGCTAGAGAGAGAACCAAGACTAGTAAGAGTGATAGAAGTTCTCTGGTCTCGAAACTCATGATATCTGCGGAGCCGTGAAGTGCCGTGCTCGTTGAGGTTTTCTACGCTGCCCTTTGAAATCTGGGACTGAGCACAGCTCTTTGGTGTCCATGGCGTGTTCCAAGGACTTTTCTTTCGTTGAAGAACTTGCCATCAATGTGTACCCGAAATTGACGGAGTCCCGCACGCGCTTCCACCACGACAAGTCTCTCGACTTTGAAAAAAGAAAAAAAAGAAAGAAAAGAAGAACGATTGAAGTGATGGCCCGCGCTATCGACATAGACGAGAAAATATTAGGCGCCGTGCGTCACTCCCACTTCACGCATTGATTGTGCCATTGCCACGTGTCCGAGTAGGGACCGCTATTTTTTCAGATTTTTTTCTCTCTCCTTCCTTCGTTACTCTCTCCCACTCTTCTCTCAGCGTTTCTTCGTTTTCGTCGTCACTCATACGTAAAATAAATGATTAATATAAAAAAAATTTCAAATTAATATATTTATAATAATTTTACCTTAAATTAAATTTTTTAATCACTAAAAAATTTATATTGATATATTTATAATAAATTTATTCTCATTTTATTTCCGTTAAATTTTTCTTTCAAATTACTTTATTAAATGACACGTGGCAGTTAATTAATGTATTAATTTTTATTTTTTACCCTTCGTTTGTCACGTGTGTATCAATTTGTGATTTTTTATGATATAAATTTAATTTAACGGAAACTAACGGAGGGTAAATTTGTCACAAATGTATCAATTTAGAATTTTTAATGATTAGGATAAATTTGTGTATACCAATTTAAAATTTTTTGTAATCAAAAACTTAATTTATGGTAAAATGATCACAAACATAATAGTTTGGAATTTTTCGTGATGTTAATTTTATAAATAAATTGATTTGACGTGATTTTGTAATTTTTTTTTAATTTTCTGACCCTTTTTCTTTTTCGTTTCTTTTCTTTACCCTTATGTCTCCTTCTTCCACTTCATTGCCAAGAAGAGATCACTGTTCATCTTCCTTTTCTTCACTCGCCTCGCGTCATCAAATCGCCTCCTCTCACCATCACCTTCCCTCTCTCCATCGAGACTCGGTCTTCTTCTCTGTTTCAGTACTCAGTAACAGTCTCGCGCCGTACTAAATCTCGGCAGCAGACCCACCTGAACCCCGATTATCAGCAAAACAATCCCATTCTTCTCCCAACCCTCCAATCGTTTGAATAATACAAAATTGATTGTTGGATTTGAGCACCTTCATGGCTGGGTTCTAGTTTTGGTTGGATGTCTTGATTCATGGTAGGCGTCAGAAGAAGAACAAAGACAAAGGGAAATATGCATGATTTATGATGGGCTATCTCTGGGTAGACCCTCCCCCGTTAAATGCTTTCATAAGGAAAAGAGGAGCTCTTGTTTGGTTTTCTGTGAAAGAGCGTGAAGTTTTAACATTGTGAGAAGGAGCGAAGACTTCATAGTCGTTGGCTCATTTAATGTCTGTTTTTTGGTTGTTGCCATTTTGTCCTTAGAAATGGTGGCCCGAAGCTCAGCAGGTGGCACTATCATCATCTCCTTTCGCAGGTTACCCAAACCCAACTAGCCGAAAACCGACCATCACAGTCAAGAAGCCATGCCCGATGAGCTCCTGTGTCCTGTTTCGGGGTCTCTCATGGCCAATCCCAATCTGGGCAAGGGTCGGTGGGCATCGCCGAGGTCCCAGTGAAGCCCCGTCAATCCTGTGCGGCAATAGTGGGGGCGGCATAAAAATTAGATGAATGGTAAGGAAAAAGAATAAAAGAAAAATATCAAAACAGGAAAAAGTTTTAAGATAAAAAAATAAGAAGATTGAGACCATTGACAATAAAAAGAAAATATCAAAAAGCTTATAAAATTTCTTAAAACAACATCGTTTTTAATCATACACTTCATATTACTAGCTTTATCACGTAGAACGGCTTGCGCTAACCGGTGAACCAGCCTAAATTGACCGAACGAACTACATTGAAAAATCGTCAAAAGATTTAGGATTACGTTGGTTGAATTGAAAAGTTAATGACTGAATTAGCATCCGTACATTAAATTTAAGACTTTTTAGATTCCCTGACAAAATTCAATCCCATTCTACTTCCTTAGTTGGTCATTAAACATGTGCTCTAGAGGATAGTCTCTAATTACATAAAAATGCTAGACGTTAACAAGAGCGATGTGTCAAGTTATTATTTATGCTTGAACATAACTCACTCGTGCAAAGAGCCATCCAAGGTCCAAAGCGTCACGTATAAACCAATTTAGTGAATTAGTTTTAATAAGTCAAGCACTGATCTCATATCAGACGAGGTCATTGATTATGTCATGTGTTCGACGTATGATGATTACATCGATAATTGCTTTGTTATAGTAACACCGTGTGATGCAAAGAAAAACACTAGTGCAAATCGTACCAAAACACCGATGACCAAAGGTTAGGTCTACCGGATCCCCTTCTTTTTTCTTTTTCTTTTGTTTTCCTTTTTTTGGTCCGAAGGGTTTAGGAGACTTTGTCAATATTAGGCTTTCTTTATTCGCTCAAAAATGACAATTCAACATCAGTGACTGAGCCATATATTTGGGAAAAATTGTCAAAAAAGTTCTAAACCTATTGTACGGCGGCCAATTCAGTCCTAAACCTTTTAAGTTTGCCAATTCAGTCCTAAACCTTTTTAATTCTAGCCAATTCAGTCCTTCCAGCCAATTTTGGCCGGCCGGCGCTGACGTGGCCGCCGTCCGGCCAACGCTGACGTGACAATTTTTTTTAATTTTTTTTTTTCAATTTTTTAATCTTTTTTTTCTTTTTTTTTTTTCTGATTTCTTCCTCTGACCGGTCCCGCGACCGGCGGCCGGCAAGGTCGACCTCGTCGGCCTCGCCGCTGCTGAGGTGAGGCCGACCTCGCCGCTGCTAGGCGAGGCGAGGCCCAGTAGCAGCGAGGCCGGTGAGGTCGACCTTGCCGGCCCTCCCCTTTGGCCGGCCGCCGATCGCAGGACCGGCCAGAGGAAGAAATAAAAAAAAAGATTAAAAAATTGAAAAAATAATAAAAAATTGCCACGTCAGCGTTGGCCGGACGGCCGGTGGCCACGTCAGCGCCGGCCGGCCAAAATTGGCCGGAAGGACTGAATTGGCAAGAATTAAAAAGGTTTAGGACTGAATTGGCAAACTTAAAAGGTTTATGACTGAATTGGCCGCCGTACAATAGGTTTAGGACTTTTTTGACAATTTTCTCCATATATTTGACCTTTGACCTTCAATAGATTTTTTAATTGCCGTATTATTACGGACTAGATTGAACAAATTGAATACCAATCAATCATTTTGTCCTACTAATTGCTTATATGAAAGAGAAAATGACAAAATAGCCCATGAAGTTTGATCCAATGTACAATGTGGTCCATAAACTTTTAATTTATTCATTGTGGTCCCTAAAATTTTAATTTGTGTCATCTCTGAATTTTTTGTACTTGTTTAATGTAGTCCCTGAATTATATGAAAATATTTAATATAGTCCTTCAATTAATTCAAATTGAATGACTATATTAAATATTTTCATATAATTCAGGGACTACATTGAATATGTATTAAAAGTTCAGGAACCACATTAAACAAGTTAAAAGTTCAGAGACCACATTGAACCTTAGGCTAAAGTTTAGGGATTATATTAAACAAATTAAAAGTTCATGGATCATATTGCACATTTGACAAAAGTTCAAGGACTATTTATGTCACTATCCCTATATAATTTCGGTCCCCCCCTCCCCCCACATTGAACGAATTGAATACCAATCAATAATTTTGTCCTACGGAATCCCTCCCCCGCCCCCCCCCAATTGAATACCAATCAATAATTTTGTCCTACTGTTTGACTTCAGTTAACTCAGTGAATAGTTCATAGCATAGAGTTTGGGAAGTGAATACACTTATCTTAGAAGTCAGGTGGGTCATGGGCCAGTTCAAGAATCACTCTAGCCCACTACACTAGAGAGTCTAATAGAGTATTGACTGGATTAGTAAAGCCCAAAAAATTGAATGTTGTACCTTCTAATTGTGTAGCCCAACCCCCTTGACCCCTTTGGAATTTACTTTGTTTTGATGCCCCAGTAGTGGGCCATGGAAGTTGAGACTTTCGAATTCAATAAAATTTTGTTTTGACCAAAAAAAAATTGACATTTTAGTAACCAATTATTAATATATTGACTTTTGGTCAACACTTGTCCAAAAAATTGAAAAAATTCAAAACTCCTAAATCAAATTATTTGCTCTTCAATTTGACTTTGGCATCATCAATTTTACAAAAATCGGTTTAAAACCAACTTTTCCTCAATTCGTGGATCTTGGTTTGAAATCGGCAACAAATAAAATTACTTTGCTTCTAGTCCATTTTTTGGATAGTTTCCTTCACGATTTTTTATTTAGAGGTCGTCTCACATTCAATTTGCAAGCTAATTTCAGAATTCCAAGCGAAGGATAAGAACCCTCAATTTGAGCCCTAATTAGGGGTTCCGGTTGATTTTTCATAATTTGCGCAATTTAAACCGCCGATGGGTTCGATTTCTTATATGCAACTCAAATCCAATATCAATTTTGACAAATTCACATGGATTCGAGTAAATTTGATCAATTTGGTTAACCAAAGACTTGCAAAATCAAGTTAGCTTGGTCCAGCTGACGCAATTCAACTTGACCCATTCTAATCAAGGGTTTAATTTGATAGATTGAGCTTTAATTTGATGATTAAGTTCCAATTTCTTTTTGGGGCTTAGTTCGAATCATTATATGAAAGACAATTCAGGCGCATTAGAGTGTTTTAAACTCATTCAATTGAATCAATTGAGTGCTTTTCAAGTCAATTGGGTTCAATTGAAATCAATTTTGTCAATTGAGAACAAGAAATAAAAATCCCCAATTAGTGTAAGGCAAATCAATTGAGATGAAATTGGCACTATCCATGATGTAATTAGAACAAATTAATTCAATTGGGATGTTAATAATGAGTTTG